CGTGCATAAAAAAGCAATGTTTTTGAAAATTAGTGGTAAGTTGTGGAAATTTCGAGGTACTGAGCTTCTTTCAAGCTATTTGTTCTTTTTTATCTTGTTATCATGAACTTGGTGACGTGCATCATAAACCCTATTTTTTTATGTTGAAATTGGTGGAAATTTATGGAAAGTATCGAGTTTCGTTCAATCTTTTGATTGTTCTTGGTGTTAATTTTCTATGCTTTTGTTATATTTTTCCTCTGATATTCAAGAACGTGACAGCGTAAGTAAAAAACAATGTTTTTGAAAATTAGTGGTAATTTGTGGAAATTTCGAGTACTGAGCTTCGTTCAAGCTTTTTGTTCTTTTTTTCTCTTGTTATCAAAAGCTTGGCGACGTGCATCAGAAACCCTATTTTTTCTATTAAAATTGTTGGAATTTTATGGAAAGTATCGAACTTCGTTCAATCTTTTGATTGTTCTTGGAGTTAATTTTCTACGCTTTTGTTCTATTTTTCCTCTGATATTCAAGAACTCGACAGCGTGCATAAAAACATTGTTTTTGAAAATTAGTGGTAATTTGTGGAAATTACGAGGTACTGAGCTTCGTTCAAGCTTTTCGTTCTTTTTTCCTCTTGTTATCAAGAACTTGGTGATGTGCATCATAAACCCTATTTTTATGTTAAATTGGTGGACATTTATGGAAAGTACTAAGCTTCGTTCAATCTTTTCATTGTTCTTGGCGTTAATTTTCTACGCTTTTGTTCTACTTTTCCTGTGATATTCAAGAACTCGACAACATGCATAAAAAGCACTGTTTTTGAAAATTAATGGTAAGTTGTGGAAATTTTGAGGTACAGATCTTCTTTCAAGCTATTCGTTCTTTTTTATATTGTTATCAAGACTTGGCGACGTGCATCATAAACCCTATTTTTTATGTTGAAATTGGTGGAAATTTATGGAAAGTACCGAGCTTCGTTCAATCTTTTGATTGTTCTTGGCGTTAATTTTCTACGCTTGTGTTATATTTTCCTCTGATATTCAAGAACTCGACAACGTGCATAAAAAACAATGTTTTTGAAAATTAGTGGTAATTTGTGGAAATTTCGAGGTACTGAGCTTCTTTCAAGCCTTTTGTTCTTTTTTTTCTCTTGTTATCAAAAACTTGGCGACGTGCATCATAAACCCTATTTTTCCTGTTAAAATTGGTGGAAATTTATGGAAAGCACCGAACTTCATGTAATCTTTTGATTGTTCTTGGAGTTAATTTTCTACGCTTTTGTTTTATTTTTCCTCTAATATTCAAGAACTCGACAGCGTGCATATAAAACACTATTTTTGAAAATTAGTGGTAATTTTTGGAAATTTTGAGGTACTGAGCTTCGTTCAAGCTTTTCGTTCTTTTTTCCTCTTGTTATCAAGAACTTGCTGACGTGCATCATAAACCCTATTTTTTCTGTTAAAATTGGTGGAAATTTATGGAAAGTACTAAGCTTCATTCAATCTTTTCATTGTTCTTGGCATTAATTTTCTACGTTTTTGTTCTATTTTTCCTCCGATATTTAAGAACTCGACAGCGAGCATAAAAAACACTGTTTTTGAAAATTAGTGGTAAGTTGTAGAAATTCGAGGTACTGAGCTTCTTTCAAGCTATTCGTTCTTTTTTATCTTGTTATCAAGAACTTGACGACGTGCATCAGAAACCCTATTTTTTATGTTGAAATTGATGGAAATTTATGGAATGTACCGAGCTTCGTTCAATATTTTGATTGTTCTGGGCGTTAATTTTCTACGCTTTTGTTATATTTTTCCTCTGATATTCAAGAACTCTGTAGTGTGCGAAAAAAACAATGTTTTTGAAAATTAGTGGTAATTTGTGGAAATTTCGAGGTACTAAGCTTCGTTCAAGCTTTTTGTTCTTTTTTTTCTCTTGTTATCAAAAACTTGGCGACGTGCATCAAAAACCCTATTTTTTCTATTGAAATTAGTGGAAATTTATGAAAAGTACCGAACTTTGTTTAATATTTTGATTGTTCTTGGAGTTAATTTTCTACGCTTTTGTTCTATTTTTCCTCTGATATTCAAGAACTCGGCAACGTGCATAAAAAATATTGTTTTTGAAAATTATTGGTAATTTGTGGAAATTTTGAGGTATTGAGTTTCGTTCAAGCTTTTCATTCTTTTTTCTCTTGTTATCAAGAACTTGGCGACGTGCATTAGAAACTCTATTTTTTCTATTGAAATTGGTGGAAATTTATGGAAAGTACCGAGCTTCGTTCAATCTTTTGATTGTTCTTGGAGTTAATTTTCTACGCTTTTGTTCTATTTTTCCTCTGATCTTTAGGAACTGTTTTTGAAAATCGTTGGAAATTTATGGAAATTTTAATGTACTAAGCTTTGTTCCATCTTTTTGTTCTTTTCTTTCTTTGGTTTTCAAGAACTTGGCGACGTTTATCATAAACCCTGTTTTTCCATCTAAATTAGTGGAAATTTGTGAAAAGTACTGAGTTTCGTTCAATCTTTTAATTGTTATTGGTGTTAATTTTCTGTATTTTTGTTATATTCTTCCTCTTATAATCAATAACTCGGCAGCGTGTATAAAAGCATTGTTTTTGAAAACCAGTGGAAATTCCGAGGTATTGAGATTCGCTCAAGTTTTTCGTTTTTTTCTTTCTCTGGTTATCAAGGACTTTGCGACGTGCATAAAAAACCCTATTTTTTCGTTGAAATTGGTAGAAATTTGTGGAAAGTATTTAGCTGCGTCCAATCTTTTGATTGTTATTGGAGTTAATTTTCATCGTTTTTGTTATATTCTTCCTGTGATAATCAAGAACCCGACAGCGTGCATCAAAAATATTATTTTTGAAACTAATTAAAATTTGTGAAAATTCAGAGGTGCTGAGCTTCGTTCAAGCTTTTCATTCTTTTCTATCTCTGGTTATCAAGAACTTGATGATGTGCATCAAATACCCTATTTTTCCTTTTAAAATTAGTGGAAATTTGTGAAAAGTATTGAGCTTTGTTCAACCTTTTGATTGTTCTTGGCATTAATTTTCTACGTTTTTATTCTATTCTTCAGTGATAATCAACAACTCGACAGCGTGCATTAAAAACACTCCTTTTTTTTCATTGAATTCTGTAATGGGTTCGACTGTAAATCAAAACCCAAAAATGGATTCGGTTGAGGTTTCAGGTTGTTACCGTAAAATGGGTTCTGTCTCGGCACCTTCCCTAGTGCTCTTGAAGTCGCTCTTGCGTACGACAAGGTCGCCGATGCTATACATGGCGAAAGGCTATTCTCAACATGTCTCGGGGTTCGTCAAATAGGGCATCGACCCATTCGGATATCTGCGACAAAACAACAACAAATTTCGAGTTTCCTGATTACGAGCCGCAAGATTATAACTATCTCAACATGGGTTCTAACTCTGTCTTCACTTTGTGGAATGGGGTTTTAACGGCGACGATGAGTACTTCTATGGGTTATAAGAGAAGAACATACATTCCTGGATTTTTAGATTCCATTTCAAAAATCAACTCGGCAGCCGTTTCAGCTAATTTGGTATTTTTTAGGTTGCATTTTCATGGTTTAGCTTTAGTGAGTGGATTTGCTCCAGTAGTATCAAAGGCTTCTTGGCTCTAGATGAATCCTCTGTTGAAAAAAAGGTATAAATCCCTCTCAAAATGGATGAGGTTTTGGCAAAGAGGTTTTGGCATTTTTTATGTTCCAAAGGATGAAGAAGAAGGCAGTGGTAGCGGCCAGCAAAGGAATCTATAACATTAGTGACTAAGTAGCGGGTCAAGTAAGTGATCAACGGATCAAGTAAGTAGTTAATGGTCCAACTCAACTTTCCTTCACCTGCATTAATGGAGGATAACGTCGACGCACCAATTTTTTATAAATTGATACTGTTGATAATTAATTTATAAATTTTGAAAGTTTAATATGGAAAATCGAAATTTATTCAAATTTAAGTGATCATTTGTGTACTTTACCCTTTAACTACTAAACAATAATATAACTTGGGAAATAACTTAGGAAAAGAAAAGAAAAACTCAAGATTAAATTTAGGGTAAACTATATGTTTAATACATAAACTATTATTTTTTTTATTTTCGTACCTAAACTTTATTCTTTTTCAAAATCATACATAACCCCATATTAATCAAAATAATAATAATAACATAGCTACTAATGTGATACTTTTTTATTTTTTCCAATGATGACATGACATTATCTTAATGTGTCACGTTAACATTATCTTAATGTGTCACGTTAACATTATCGTTAAATTTTTAGTGACGAGAATCAAAATGAAACTTAAACTAAAAATCAAGTATGATTTTGAAAAAAATATAATGTTTAGATATTAAAACGAAACAAAAGTAATAATTTAAGTACTAAAAGCATAGTTTATGTTTAAATTTTTTTGTACGATTAAAAATTGAATGTTCTGTTTAAAAATTGTTATTATTTTAATTAAAAATGAGAAACATGAATGATCAAAATGATTAAATTTTTATAACTAAAATAAAAATAGGTTAATAGTTTAGTGGTCATGGGAATAATTCACCCCCAAATTAAAAAAGACATAATGCCAAAAAAAACCAACGTTTGCCAAAATAGTCATTTTAACTCTTATTTTTTTGAACATTTTGACTCCTAACGTTTCACTTTGGGACAAAAAACTCCATCTATAGATGAAAATCATTAGTTAACACACGAGTAACACTCCAAAATATGAGCATTTTTTGACCTAAAATAAAATGTTGGGCTAAAATACCTTATAAGAAAGAAAAGATACAAAGTGATTATTATGTAAAATATTAGGAGCCTTTTTACCCTAAAATGAAACATTGGGGGCAAAATACTCCAAAAAAATAGAATAAGAGACAAAATGACAATTTTGGTAAACGTTAGAGGCTAATTTTGGCATTATGCCTTAAAAAAAAAGCACACAGATTTTATAAAGTAGTTTGTTTCATTTTGATCAGCCTTCAAGCATGTCTTCCAGTCCACACAAAAGGTAAACATAAAAGGTACACACAACACTCAGTTTTCTAAGTTTTGTTTCCTTTCATTTATTCATATGCTAAAACACTTGTAAAAACAGAACACGAACTTGCTGATCAATCTTCACCTTCACCATCTTCCACTGATTTCTTCTGCTTCTTGGCATTTCCCATGCTAGAGCTGCAACCTTCATTCGAACCCGGGTTCTTCTCGAACCCCGTTAAACCATATACAAATTGCTTCTCAGACTCTCCCAGACCCAGCTCATCCTCAAACCAGTCAAACTGATCAATGGGAGGGAATTTGTATGTCACGTCATCCGGATCCGAGTCTGCATCTGTCAAAGAGAACATAAATATCAAATAATTAGCAACCCTACCGGTATTGTTTAATAATTTTTGAACCAACTTTTTGAAAGAACAGAGATCAATACTATGCAGAAAGAATGTAGAACCAACAAAAAAGTTCATCGTATTACTGTTCAAATACACCTCAAGGTTAATTGCAACATAATTCTATGAAGTTCAAGCAGTATTAAGGGCTTGGTTATGTAAGTAATGCGTCGGAGAGACTTGATACGAAAGAAAAAGAACAGAGAAATTAGGCTAGTAAGAAGAATCGAGTTATGGACTTACTCAGTTCAGGCGTGCTAGCTCTTTTCTTTGACCTACAGGAAGGTTTTACGGCACAGAAATCCTGCAATAGAGGATTAACGCAAAAGGAAACAAATCCAAACAAAAATAAACTTCAATTAGTATTGCATTGAAGGAACAAATTTGATTATTCACATAAATTGGCATAGATATGTTAACAATAGGGACCAGGAGCCATTAATGGCTACACGAATTTTAGAAGGAAAATATTCAGTTTCATAAGTGAAGGCCTGAATGATCTTTTAAACACTAAGGATTAATGTCTCATAATATTTTGCATCCACTTTAGTTGCGAGTCCAAAATTCATATTCAACCAACTCTTGATGTCCGATGCATATTTAGATATAGTGTGGGGATATGATTCTGTCAATAACTTCCATATATGTCAAAATACTTCAAAAAAATTTAACATGCCTATATAAGACGCATATTAATGAATAAATTATTAATAACACCATACAGAAAAATAAGTTGAAACTCACATCAGCGTAGATTGAAAGCTTAGCAGCTTTTGCGTAGTTCACATATCACAAGAGATCTTCATAGGAGTAGAACTTTTGCTCACACTCTGGACATGTGTAGCACTGCAACAGCCAACTATTTAAAATCAACAGTCAACAAAATTCATCTTTATACCATTTAATTTTCATATAGGTTCCATTGTATCACAATCAGGCTTTTCTTCGAACCATGTGCCTTTAAATGGTGAAAGAGGAAGACGTTTTATTGAAGCAAGTCCAATAATCATGAAGAACAAGAAAGTAAGACTTCAGCAAGGAGGCTTACGGATTCATGCAGTAGTATTCTGCAGATAGCAATCCTGCATTACTGTCCGGAAGCTCTAAAGATATATTATAGAGGTCTAGTAATAGATGCAAAAGAGGCATTCACAGTCTTCATTAGTAAAGGTACACTCTTGGCTGTTCAGACCGGTCCATTTGATGGATAACCAATCATGTCATGATGGTAGGAACTAGCAAATATCCTAGACTTTCTCTACAGTCACAAATTACACACCTTCGAGATTTAGAAATTTAGTTAAGACCACAACTAAATATAAAGATCTTTTACCTAGAAATGATTGATTGTCAATTTCAAAAGAATACTTCCCACCAGATAGATTGTTAATATCAGTTTCTAGCATCTGATTTACATTCAGAAAGGGGCTTCGATTTTAGTTTCATCAAGTGCATGCAATGAAAAGGGAATCAAAACTTTTTAAATCACCAAATCACAGTTCTGTCACTTTCTCGAAACAGAAAACTAAGGTTCATATCTAGTAAATGCATAAAAAATACTCTTAATATTTATATGAAGATGCGACATTCATACCTCACATAAAAGCACAATGCATAGATTTGATAATAAAATCTAGAAAGACAAAATCAGATCGACTTAATTAATCATCAATAAACAAAGAAATATTACAAAGCATTCAACAAATTAGTGCATGTAGAAAACTTGATTAAAGGGACTGATATGTATCAGAGCTTTCTAGTGTCTGAATCACATAGATCATAAAGAGATAAACAAAGGATAATTAAATGATCAATTACCTAAAGACTAGACCCATCCTTCTGCTTTTTGACAACCAACTTCCAGCGATCAGGAATTGGCCCTGATGAATCCTTGTCTACCATAGGAAAAATGATGATCTCTCAAGAGTGCTTAAAAGAATCGCCCTTATTTTTTCCGCCAGAGAGACAACTCAGACCTGGATCTTTTTTTATAAAAGAGACACTTAAAAGGCAATTCTCAGGAAGAGTCAAAATACTTTTAAAGCCGCGTGTTACCGTTCACATGTTTTATGATTCGAAATCTGAAAAGTACCTGAAATGAAATTAACAAAAACACTGTATTTGAATATTTGTGTATGGAACACATGTAAGAAAATACAGATTACTTACCATGTTTGCTAAGATGACAAATGAGTTCAAAGGGATACTGACATACAGCAAAAACCAATGGACTACCCCTCTTTACATTTTTTTTTTGATAAAATGCCATCTTTACGTTTCAAAGCAAAACTGAGTATCCAGTATACATGTGCGGCAAAAAAAGATGACTCCATTTATAGCTGTTACAAAATAGACGGCAGATTATCCAGCCGGGCAAGAAAGATTGGCAATCTAAGGGCAATTCCACAACAGAACAAGAGAAATCAAAACACGTAAGGATAACCAGATCAAAGAAGGTCACTGATGAAAAAGTCACATAGGGGCTTATCAGATTTAAAAGAGAAAGCTCTTCCCACTATAGATTAATTTTTTTGATAGAAGATAAGCCTCATTAAAAACCCCCTTCATATCCTACATGTTACATTAGTAACATGAAGGACATAGGAAGGAGGAAAAGAGTACCTCTGAATTTTATTAATCTAAACAATAACATACAACCATTCCCTAACCACTAATTGCTTACAACATAACACTTAATGCATAACACTTATACATAACACCCTTCAGAAATACAAACAAAACACAAAACCTTCAGAACCACATCACATAACCTATTAATTAACCTATACCAGCTTTGGCTAACTCATCCGCTTCCCAATTAGCAGCTCTCAGAATGTCTTGAAGTAATACCCTTTCCTTCCACAAAAGTAGCTAAATCTCTCACCAAGGACTGAAACAAAGGGGTACATAAATCTGGACTTTTAATCCACTTCAAAGCAGTAGTAGAATCAATTTCCAGGATAATCCTCTGACTTGGAATAGATCCTACTTCTTCAATGAGAATCAACCCTCTTTTGATCGCCAATAGCTCTGCAAGTATAGGAGGACTGCCCCCAATTTTATCTGAAAACGAACCAAGCAGCATACCCTTGGCATCCCTAATCAATCCACCTATACCTCATTTGTCCCATCCCTTAACCATCGCCCTATCTACATTAAGTTTTAGGAAACCTTCTGGAGGAGGTACCCACCTAGATGAAGGAGAACCCCCTTTTTCTATCTTCCTGCCAAATCTGCCAGTTTTATATCCCCCACTAAAGAGTCGAAAGAAATTTTAACATCCTTAAATCTAGCCCCAAACCAAGAAGCAATTCTAAATCGAGCAAGAAAGAACAACATTGCAGTATCCACCTTCCCTTTCTGGAAAATTATCTCATTCCTGCATTTCCAAACCGACCACAACACCGCCCTTGGAATGAATTTTCAAATAGTAGAGCTCGAAAATAAGTCATTATAAAATTGATCAACTTCTTAGGAACCACAAAAGAAGCATTCCAATCCCTCAAGAATCTAGACCACAGATCCCATACCACCTCACAATGCAAAAACAGATGCGAAACCGACTCCTCACACTTCCCACACATCGGGCATAAAAGGTCATCAATCCCAGTCACTCATCTCTTCAACAGCTCCTCCTTAACCGCCTCTCTCTGACGTGCAACTTGCCAAACAAAAGTTTCAACTCGAGGAGGTGCTACCCCTGCCCAAACATGTCTTTCCAATAACATTTTGCTTTTTGACATAAGAAGAATGACATTGCTACTGATAGAAAAAATGCTATTACCTATTAAGAAATGAGTTATTAAGTTTCAAACACTCTACCATTTTGATCTACTAGACTTCAATTGAAAAAGGCAAACCAAGCTGAACCAAAGACACAGTGATGACAATCTACAAACTAGCGATCAAGAGAAAAAAAAGTATCAGCATAAACATTTCTCATCCAAACCAAGAAACTAGTTCCATTATCACCATCAGAAATGCAATAATCATCATCATGACCATCAAAATCCAAACATCAACATTCAAGAGAACAAAAAGGATACAAGTGTTTGCTTCAATTTCACACGGATCCAAAAACACAAAATGTAAAGTGACTTGTTCAAAGTCACAACAGATTACATCATTTTAGTACCTATAATGGTTGATAAGAAATATGGCTGTAAATTGATTTATTCTTTCCTTTTTAAGTATACATTGTTACTACTGCAGCGATAAAAGGAAGCAAAGATTACAGAATCCCAACAAATCCATTCACTTTTAACATCATCATCAACAAGAACAACAATAATAAAACACTTCTCAACTAAAATTAGTAACAACCATAAACAAACTGCAATAAGAAGCTAATAATTAATTGAAGAACCAAGTTAGTGAAATTATGAATGTGAAACTGTAGAGCATTAATAGTAGTAATAACGACAAACATACTTCCTTAGGGAAATGCTTTCTAGGAAATAGATCAAAATCGAAAGTGATAAACTTGTATTTTCCTTTTCATTGCGTTTCCACTGTTTCCATCTGCAACTGGGCGAGTTAATGAGAAAAAGAAAGAAAAGGAACATTTAAGGAAGTCAAAAGCACTGCACCACATCATTCTTGTTCCTCGACAGGATATCATGTTGCCTTCATTGAAGAATAGCATGACATCGCAATGAAAACCATTAATAGTTTTTCCTGGTGTTTCTTTGATCAAAAGGAAAACATTTTTCTTTTCTTTTTCCTTCATATTTTTTGGAGTTGAACTTAAAGTTAAGTCCCACTTAAACATGACAAGCGTCACCCTTGAACTTATAAGATTCTTTAAAGGGCTTATTGCAATATTAACAAAACCTTGCAAAATATTTCACAAAACCTATGACATTGGTGACAACTGCCATATTAGATGCCTCACTAGCAAGAATGATGTTTTCCAAGAGTATATATTGAGTAATGAAATTTCTGCTTGTTTGGCAAACTATGCCAGTAAAAGCCAATGCAACATCTATTTCAATCATAGAAATAACTATCGCAAATCTTAAAAGTTAAAAAACGAAACACTGAAGGGCCATTCAAAGCAAGATTTTGGAAGTTCGGTATGTCAGAAAACAAACAACCTATTTAATAGAAAACATATCCATGAAGAGTGAAACAGCTGTTTTCTCGTCAACCATAGCGTCTGCATCGGTATTTACCCTTCAGAGGTATCCACACATCAGGCTTCACCCAATCAGAACACCCACCTAAAAATGAACTTGATAATTTGAAAGACAAAGCTTAAGCCAAATAGAAGCATATAATAAGCAAATGCAGAGGAAATTGAAAGAGACTAAGAAAGTAAAGAGTATGAAACTAGCCATCACCTAACCAATTAGATAAGGACAATGCTGATAATATAACTACAAAATATAATTTCTTTAAAAATGCAATAAATAACATAACATATTCTGCAAGTCAGACTGCAACCCCGGATGGAAAAAGAAGATCCTCAAGTTCTGTCCCACCAATTGTTTTACTGGTTAGAAGCAAAACAAAAAACAACATGCATTTCATATTATCTAATTTAAACCATATCCTAACATGGGAAGAACAACTTGAATAGGTTTCAAATAAGTATATAAATTCAGCTAGCAACAACATTGTGCAATAATAAACTTGAGACGATTTGGTAAATACAAATAACGAATTGTCTAATTTCCTTGCTCAATATATTGGAACCTTCCCAACACACTGCTTATAGAGGAACCTTTTGCAGGATTTTTTTTTCAATTTAAGTAGCAGATTTTCCATTTTGTTCTAAAAAATTAAACCAAAAAAATCAGATAAATCCTCGTGAATGCTGATTTCATAGCCTCGAAGCCCATTTATCATGATTTGAAAAATTTTACATTTTTAGTGTCGAGTGATATAAGAATTCAACTAAAACGAAAACAACATAGAAGAACTGAACCAATTAAGAAACTAATCAAAACCCATTTCAGATAATTAATTAAAATAAGAACATGTACCTGAATTTCAGTTTTTGGAGTGTCAAGAACACTGCTTTCGAGCAATGACGGCTGGGGGTTCATACTTCATAGCATCAACCATATTCAACAAAGGTAAGTTACTTATAAAAAAATTGGTTAAACGTCTCTAGAGTGCAAAACTGGATAGGGTAAAGAAGGATTTGAGGGAGAAAAGATTTCCCCATAGAAAGCGTGTTGGTATTGTTGGAAGAGTGGCAGAGAAGCGTGGAGGATCATCAATGAAAAAGGAAAGGTTTAAGATTGGTTCTTGAATTTTCATATGATATAATCATACCCAGAGAGAGAGAGAGAGAGAGCAAAAATTGATGGGTTGTACTATTAATCGGAGTGAAGATGGGACTCCAAACCAAGGAAAACAATGGCATAATGTTAAATATTTATTAAAATATCATTTTATCTCATATATATTTTTTTAAGTATTTTGATATTAATTTTTATTTTAATATAAAAATATCTCTAACATTTGACAAAATGTTCATATCATTCTTTATTCTTTTTTTTAACATTATAGCCTTTAACGTTTTATTTTAGATTAAATTTATTTTAGAACATTAATCATATGTTAATTAATAGTTTTCATCTATAAACGAATATTTTTGTCTCAAAGTAAAACATTAAGGTCAAAATACTTAAAAAAAAAACAACATGAGACAAAATGATAATTTTAATAAACGTCGGAGGCTATTTTTGATATTATGCCAAGGGCCAGGCATTACCAAATCAATTTTTCCTTCTCCAGGTATTGAGAAATATGAGAATATTATCGTTTTAACTTGGTAGTATATATTTAAAGGGTAAATTATGTATTTAATTTCTCAACTTTTACCATATTTCTATTTTGATTGTCTGACTTAAAATTTTAATTTTACCATCCAACCTTCGGATTTTTTTTCTTACCTAGACAAGTCCAATGTTGTTTTATTTTTGGGTAAATTTATGCAAAAAAAAAATTATCCTGAAATTTTTGTCTAAAATTGATATCTTCGAACTTCCTTTAATTTATCGACGGTAAAATATTTTCTTTCAAATTTTAATTTCATTTTTGATTACCAGTCGATAGTCTAACTTCGTTTAATATTTTTGGTGATTTTATGCTAAAACACCCCTGATTTTTTATCTCAAAGTTAAATTTTTAGACTCCCTTTGATTTACTAGCATCAATGTATCTTCTCCCAAATTTGAATGACGAGGAGGTAAGTAAAGAGGAGATAAGTAATATATCTCGATCTCAGGATGATTGAACAATAACGATTGCGAATCAAAACAAGATAACATTATAAATTTGATTTTAGTTTTGGCGATTTTAGAGAGATTAAAAAAACAAATTGAGAAAACGAAAGATGAGGAAAAAAGAAATATTTTGGCACTAGTTATGTCACAAACAATGGTGATAGTGGTCGAATGTCGACATAAAAGGATGTCATCCATAGGGAAGAAGAAGAAAAGTGAGAAAATAAGTTAATTTCACAAATAAAACTTTCTAAAACACAATGTTTCACTACTGTTATTACACAATTACCGACAAAAATGAAATTTTAAAGTTGAGTGATTAAAACTGTAGCACCCT